GGACCAAAAAAAAAAAAAAAAAACATTTAATAAGCCTGCCTTCGTCTCCCAGGTAAGTCAGATGGTGGCCAATACATTGGAAATTAATTGGAAATTACATTGTGCTTATAGACCCCAAAGTTCAGGACAGATAAAAAAAGATAAATAGAACCATCAAGGAGACTTTAACTAAATTAACGCTTGAAACTGGCACTAAAGACTGGGTACAACTCCTACCTTTAGCCTTGTATCGGGCCCGAAACACCCCAGGCCCACATGGACTAACCCCATTTGAAATCCTGTACGGTGCCCCACCTCCCGCTGTTAACTTTTATGAAACTGAAACCTATGCCTCCCTCACCCCATCTATGCAGACTCATTTGCATGCTTTGCAATTGGTCCAGAACGAGGTCTGGAAGCCTCTAGCCGCAGCATACAAAGAGGAACTTAAAACCCCCTTGCTGCCACATCCCTTCAAAGTTGGAGACACCGTCTGGGTACGCAGGCACCAGAGCAAGAACCTCGAATCGCGGTGGAAAGGACCCTACACCATTCTGCTGACCACTCCCACTGCAGTCAAAGTGGACGGCATCACCGCTTGGATCCACGCCTCCCACATGAAAGCTGCACATCCACAGGAGTCCGCAGGCACCTCTCCGGATCCAAAATGAAAGTTGCAACGCACTCAAAATCCACTAAAGATAAGACTCACACGCTGTTGATTTTCCTTGCTTTGTGCTTTGTATTTCCCCTAACGGTTGCTAACCAAACTGTGAGCCAGACATGGCAAATATTATCGGGGACAGGAGATATAATTTAAAACCAAACATCCACAAAATACCCCCTTTGGGCTTGGTAACCTGCTCTAAGGCCTGATCTTTGTTACCTGCTGGCTAAGGCAAAGGACTTTGATGACCCCAGTGAGGCAGAAGCATGCGTCTACAGTGGACGCTGCACCTGCGTAGAACATCCCACAGGGTGTAAAGCAGCTCTAAGGGAGACACCCTTCTACATATGCCCTAGGGATGAAAAAAACCCAGTCACAGGTACAAAAATGTGGACAACATGAAAGTTACTATTGTAAATCTTGGGGATATAAAACTACGAGGGATATATGATGGAAGCCAGGTTCATCTGGGGATTTAATACAAGTAAAAAAAAAAAAGGGACAAGAGCCCCCACTATCTTCCGACTCCTGTAGGAGCCTAAAATGGTACGGGGCAGGGCCATGCTCCGCGTTTGCCTGCAACCCCTTAAACATTACCTTTACTCAGGCAGGCAAGGCATCAAAGGAATGGATAAAAAAAAAAACAATGGGGCCTAAAAATGTACTTCAAAAATGCCTACGACCCTGGGGTCCTATTCAAAATTAGGCTAACTACTATATTATCTACTGTAGCTGGCCCCTTGATTATATTACTGTTAATTTTAACCTTTGGACCTTGTATATTCAACAAATTAATGCAATTTATAAAAGGAAAACTGTCTGTAATCCAAACTATGGTCCTCGCGCAGCAATATCAAGTACTCCCACAGCACCCTGAGCCATCAGCTGAGCTAGTGCCGGACTCTGAGCAGGTAGATCAATGGATATAGGATTATATCCCGGATAAAGAAAAGGGGGAAATGAAGGACCTCAAGGACCCAGGCCCCACATTAGGAAATCCAACCCCT